ATATAAAACTGTGTAAAGTCAACAAAACAATATATAGTAAAAATTCGTATTATGTAGCTTTGAAATATTACAATCTAATGCCGACTGAATATAAGAACCTCAATGTTATAAATAAGCCGCATAAATTTAAATTGAAACAGTGGTTATTGGATACACAGAGTCATTTAAAATAAAGTTTTAATTATAAGAAACTAAAAATGAAAAACTATTTAAAACACTCAAAAGGGAGTGACATTATACATTTATACATTCATATATTCATATACTTATAGTAATATTATACATGTACGATAGGCCTAGGCTTATCTTTTCCCTACCCTATCAACAGGCAATTGTTTTTTGTCTCTATAGGGTTTAATATGTAACTGTATATTTAATTGGGAAATAAATAAATAATAAATAAATAAAAAAATATATTTAATATATTTTTTGCTTGCAATATTTCGCTTTTATTTACCTATGTACTTAAGTATAATTGCCAATATTATTACTTAATATAGGTTTTCCATTTTTTTATATATATGTATATATGTATATGATATTCGATAATTTTTATTCTTTAAAATAACTTGTTATTTTATTATAATTTTTTTTTCATTTCTAAATTTCACCAATTTCAGGAATTTCGGAGAGTCCACCAATTTTAATATGTATATCATTTGAGCGAACCTGAAAGTTAGAATTACTTTAAGCTAATTAGCAAAAAATGTTGATTTGAGTAAATAAATCCACAGGTAAACAAATAAATTTACAAAAAATCACAATTTATATAATTAAAAGGTAACTAATTTAAAAGAGAAAAATAGTTACACAACAAAAAAATAATTTCATATAAAAATGCAAAAAATAATTAGAAAAAAAAAGATTGTGATGCGAAAAGGGAGATTGTAAGTGAGAATCACTCCAAGTTAATTAGCAAAAAATGTTGATTTAAGTAAATAAATACACAGTTAAACAAATAAATTTACAAAAATCACAATTTTCACAATTTACAAAATTAAAATAATTAATCCAAAACAGACTTGAGTGGGCTTGGAAGTGGGAGGTTTTTAAGATAATTAGCAAAAACTTTAGATTATAAATATTACTCAAGATAATTATTTAAAACAAAATACAAATAGTTTTGTAACAAAAAAAATTTCCATTTAAAAAATGTACTTTTATCTAAAAACAGTAAAGAGCTTTAACTTCAGTTGCACGCAAGCAATAATATGCTCCACATATAAAAAAGTTTCCATACAAGAACTTGCTTTTTATCGGCGCTTTTTTAAGCCGCTTTATGTATGTTATAGAGCTTCGACCTGAACAATTTGTTCAGAGATTGTACCCTTTCTTTGGACAATAATTCATTGCTATAAATTATATATATTATATATATAAATAGTTAAAAAAATAAATACATACACATGCATACATATATTATAAAATTATGCGTAAAACAGGATTTTCTATGAATAAAATTTACACTTATTACAAAATATTTGCAGTACTAATAAATATAACAACAATTTAATTATTAATTATATTTTTATACATTCAAGCGCATTAACTAATTATACAATAGCGTACACCCAGAAAATGTTGGACATAAATTCATCCAAGTATTTTTAATTAGAGCATTTTAGCTGTAGATAATCATACCATATTTAAATACACTAATAATACACTGTGGCAGCACTTGTTTAATGCAGAGAGTGATACTGAAGTATACCTTCAGGCATACACATCATGATGCATTTCTGTTTAATAACTGATAACTTATTGAAGCATACTTTTAGGCATGCTCGTGTCAAGCTTACACGCGCGTTTATACGAATCATTGCGAAAACTTGTTTACTTAACTACACATAGCCTGAAACTATTATACATATTTATTTATATATGTTAATATGTGAATTTGCTTTTCAAATAAAATATGGTGCAAAATTGGTAAACAAAACTAAATATGAAATTTAATAGATGTTTTTTCATATGTACAAATATACATGGCCATTGAATATTCAAAACTGCTAAACAGTTTGAACTAAATTTTTAGCATACCATTACATCTGCTTCCGGGACTAATAAACAACTATTCAATTTATATTTTTCGTATGCCATATCTCTGGAAGTTTTTGGGATAATTTTTCTGAACATTATTATTATCTTGTAGTGGAGTAATCAAGGCAATAGCCCCGTATCGCATAGTGGCTTGTTTCTTGGCTAGTAGAGTGAAAGTAGAGGGTGTCACCACGAGCAAGCGATTTCAATTTTACATAGTAGTAGTATTAGTATTAAACGAAATTGCTAAGATTGCTATACGGCTGTCATCCGAAAACGTGACCGGCATTAGAAACCCAGGACAGGTGCATGGCAAGAAAGGTAAAAACGTGATGGAACGATCTACCGGGATGCAAAGCTGCAAAATTATTGTTCAAAGCAGTAGATCAGAAGTACACGAAGTTCCTTCAAACACTCGATAGAAGGAAACATGGTTAGAATGCTCACTGATCACAGTCTAACGGCGTCTCACGCCTACCGAATGAGGTTGACAGAAGGAGAAAACTGCTGGAATGTCAATAACGAGAGACCAGAGAAACAATGGAACATCTCTGGTGCACTTATACAGCATTGGAAAAGCAACGCTTCAAGCATTTGGGTGTCCCACGGTTTGAGACACTGTTGAAATTCGCGTCAAGCTCTGGTATCCTAAAGGGTGGCTGCTCCTCATAGAATACATGACAGCTCTCGATCTAGTAACGCTAAGGATCAATATTGGTCTGTGCATGGTTATTAGCATACCAAACTAATCTAACCTAAATCTATAAGTGAATATTTCACAAAGCACATTCTAAAATTTTTTCCCACAAAACCACATAGACTAACCCAAATATGATTTGACTATATTTTAATAACAAAAAAAATCGAAAACGCCCTTAATTTTTTGTTTTGATCATTAGGGGCGCGCCGCTACACACCTGTTGTGACACATACCCTGTACTAGTATAACTGCTATATAGATAATTCAGTATAATTATTTAATAAATTTAATCTATGCATGACATTGAAATCTATATTTCTCAACATAAAGCAAAGCGCCTAAGAATAGAGAAAAGTGATTCATTTCAATTTTTATTACAACTTCGTGATTTGACAATAATTATAGAAAATTAGCGTAATGCGTCTATTCAATTTGTCACAAGCTGCACCTATGATCCCCTACTATGAAATAAACCCTTTACTATACCGACTTACTAAACAGCTGACTAATGCTTTGCATAATATGTCGTTTCCGTTTCGTTGTCTGTGATTAGCCGCATTATTAGAACTTAGTACTTTAACAAAATAAATTCAAATTAAATTCTCAACTGCATGCACACACAAACACATATCTGAATATGAAATTATATTATTCTCTAGTTCCTCATAATTTAAAGTTGCTCAATTATTGTGGTGACATATGTTAAGTTAAATGCAAATTGTCTGTCAAATCATTCAACCTTCAAAATATAAGAAAATGAAATTGAAAGTTAAGATTTTCATATCACTTTAACGAGATAATTGGCATTCAAAGCATGAAATTATAGTGTTCTGGATTTTTTTAGTTCAACTTAAAATGTTTTACATAAATAATAAATCATTTATATGAAAACATTTTGAAATCGAGTTATTTTCTACGATTGTCAGCGATAAGAAATTGCTCAGTTGGAACTCAAATGTTCAGCTTAAATATGAAACGTTACAGTAAATGACGCTCCAAACTACGGGAAATAGATATTCGAATGTGTTTCCAATATTTTTTGTTATTACTACCGAACAAGTTTATAGAATATCTGAAGACAGTTGCGAAAAAGACCATAATTATTAAGCATATAGAACATAAAGAATATCCCAGTTGAAAAAAATATCGAAATTATTACAAAAAATATATAAAATATCCGAAAACAGTTGCTAAGAATATCGGAATTTAAAAGTATATAGAATATATAAAATATCTCAGTTGAGAAATATATCGAAATAATTGAAATAGTTTTGAAAATTTTTCAACTATATTACTTGTATTTAATGGAGTTTACATATTTCAATTTCCATATATTTACCGTTTAAATTTTGGCGATTAGGCAAAACCTGTGAAAATATGTATTGAAAATTGAAACAACTGCCAACACTCCGCAAAAAATTGCAATTGCAACTCTACTTAAGATTTTTTACTTTAACGGTAACGGTATGGCATTTGGTTTATAAATGTTACTGATTTTTTTTTAACCCTTATGTTAGTAACCAACTTTACCGATGTCTTTTAGCAACGATCTGAGTATTATTATTATTTTGTTCATTTTATTAAAAAAAATGTTTAGAAAAAATTAATAGTCAGTGATAATTTAAAGAAGAAAAAAATAACAGCGCAGAATAAAAAAAAATATAAAAAAATGAACTCACAAATAGCTTTATTTTAAGTTTAAAAACGACGATTTGAGAGCCGGGTAACCGGTTACTAACATAAGGGTTAAAGTGGCAATCATTTTAAAACAACTACATTTTTCGAAATCCATATATTAATATATAAATATATTTTTTCAACTGTTTTTTTTTTGTAATGAAAGCATTTCAAAAGGTGGCAACTCCTATGAAAAAATATTACCGCCTCTATGCTTGCTTAAATCTCTTATCGTTGTTACCCCTTCCATAGTAATGTTTCAATATATGTATTTTTTGGCTTAAGCTCTTTCAAAAGGTGGCATCTTTCCAGCTTTAACATTGTTTTGAATTATGCGAGCTCTTTCAATTAGAATGAAATTAATTCTAAGCTGCACAATAAAAAAAAATCTGTTAACTCAAATGCGTCTTTGATCCTTACATACCTATATACATGCTTATATACGTAACGAAATATAGATTATAGGATTAGTTACACATAGCTGTACACATATATAAATACATTTCTACTATAATTTTAGTTTAGAATTCATACGTAAGTCAAAAAATACTTCCAAAATCAATCAAATATTTACGCACATACATATTTACAAAGAAAAGCAAGTTTATTTTCGTATTTCGATAGCAGCACTAAGCCAACAACAACAAAGCAATAAAGCAACACATAAAAAATGTTAAAAAAAAAAAACAAAACAAAAATTAGCAAACTTTAAAGCATTCCACATACACGCTGTGAACATCAATCGTAGCCACGATAAGTGCCATAACTGCCACGCCCACCATAAGGGCGATCGTTATAGCCGCCATCATAGCGTGGCAAGCCATCGCGATCGGTATTGGCGTAATAACCGTAACCACGATTGCGCTGCCCCGTGTATTGTGGATTCCAATAGCCATAGTATTGAGGCAGGCCGCCATTACCTCCATAGCCGCCGTAGCCGCCATTTCCGCCTAGAATATTGGTGCCCGTGCTGGGGTAGTAGCCGCCCGCGCCAGTGGTGCTGCCATAATTATAGCCATAGCCCCCAGCGCTGGGATAATAGCCGCCGTTAGAACCGTAGTTGGGGTAATTGCTGCCGCTCCAGCCACTGTTGCTTGGATAATAATTGCTCGGGTAGTAGTTGCTGGGATATGTACTGGTAGTGGGGTAATAGTTGTTTCTGTAAGGATTATAGGTTGTCGGCCTATTGGCGCTAGGATAGTAGCTATTGCCATAACCATAGCCATATCCATTACCGTAACCATAGCCGGGACTCTGGCCAAATAAGCTGCCCAAGTTGAACACTAATTGATAGACAACAACAAATAAACAAAAGTGACATTTAATAAGCAGCTTACATATTTACGTAGGTAGTGTCTGTGTCAAATTAGTTAGGTTTACACTTAAATAATGTCAGAAAAAAGAAATATTTAAGTTGGCAAACATATTCAAATTCAGTTTAAAGCGCAATACTTCCACTGTCAGATGAAATAAATAAATAAATAAAAAATATAAAAATTATGAAACTGAAGAACTTTTTTTATACCAATCCATTCATTTTAGGAGTTTTTATGTTATATGCATAATTTAACTAGGATATATTTAAGGAATATATTATTCAAAACTAGTGGAATTCTAATTATTTGATTGGAATAGAAAGAATTTTTAACACTTGCTTATTTCTTTTTGATTACCTAGGAAGGACCTACACATGTAGGCATCGAAATTTTGTAAACAAGTCTATGTAATTGTTAAGTATAAAAAATAGCTGATTCTTGTCTACCATGAAACCTGTAACCAATCAAAACCTTTTCCAAACTAAAAATATTATTTTTTAGTTATAAAATCTCCTATACGTCAAATTAGTCAGGGTATCAACTTTAAAGAACTACATTTTTCAGAAAGCTTGATCAGAATTATTTCAGCATTGATCCTTCTATTTTCCAAAAACTAAGCGCTTATTTGCAAAAATATTCACTAGTTTTACTAATGATATGAAACAACAGCTAAGACCACTGATAAATCAGTTCTGACCTGGTTAAAAGCACTACAATCTTATATAATATTAATGCATATTATCTATATGATTCAAACTGAGAGCTTCACAAACAATCACCGACACTTGCTATTTTCTTTAACAATATCATAGTTTGTATGGATGATATATTTTTTGTATGAGTATATCTTTAAACATAGTGAGATGTATGTATAAGAGCCTGAAAAATCCTTATTTCCTACAATCAATACATTTGCACCCTTCCCGTAATTCGTACATAGCCACAGCTATTTTTGTAAAAATATGGTAATTAAAAGACTAATGCAGTACGCCTCCTTTCTAGCTCTCACTTTAAAATTTGATTTCGGTATATTCAAGAATAAAGCATTTTTCAATTACTAAGTTATTACCTATTCTTGTAATGCGCTTGAAGGCACAAATACTTATATGCTCCCAAAAAGCAACATAATCTAACCCAAGGTTTCAATTTAATTGTACTTATATCTTTGAGGCAAAATCTTTAATTCGGATGATTCGATTGCCAGTTACACAGAGATGCAATATTAGTAATTTGATAGCGTTTAGAAGTTTATTATATCAACAAACCTTCCAAGCTTCCAACGGCATACTACTGGTGGTGAAAAGCTTGACGTTAACTGAACAGAAATGAAGAGATTTAACAGCCTTAAGAGTGAAAATGTGACTAGCTGAAACGTAGTACTATTTACCTATTACATATTGATAAGTAAATAACAGCACTAATCACAAGTAGTGAAAATGTTAAGAGACATTTGTTGGTACCTTACGTTCAAACAAAGTATAGGCGGTAAATAACAACGCTTTGTTGTAACTTAATAATCGTTTAACAAACACGATTTCAATATTGCAAAAAATATGGTAATTCAATGGATCATATAGAACCGAATGAAACCAGCCTACAGAACTCTCAGGACTCTTTTGCCCCTTTCTAATCTTATTTATTCGATGGTATATTCGATTGAAAATGGATATCGGCCATTGAAATTGTAAAACTTCAACAAATTTTATGCTCAATAAATCTTTTGGTTTATAATTACAAGATTTAGAAGTAAAATTATTAGAGTGCGCACTGTTCTAAATAACAGTGAAGCAGCTTTGGATAGTCTAAATATCTATTATTAAACCCTTTCTATGCCCTATTCAGATCACAGTTTGAAATGCAGTTTGTTACACTTAGAAGAAAAAGTTGGAGACCCTATAAAATATAAATATAACGGATCAGCATGATGAGCTTAGTCGTTTTTGCCAGGACCGTCTGTCTGTCTGTTGCATACGCAAACTAAATCCTCAGTTTTTGACATATCGATCAGAATTCTTTACACGTCCTTTTCTCCCCAAGAAGCAGCTCATTTGTCGGAACCACTAAAGGATATAGCTTCTATACAAACTGAACGATCGGAATCAAGTGCATGCATGGAAAACGTTTTCAATAGACGAGATATCTTCACGAACTGGATTATAATCGAATGGAATCTTCGAATAAATAGTTTAAATCGGATTACTATAGCTTATCGCTACCATACAAACTGACTGGGCAAAATCAAGTCCTTGTAAGGAATTTTTTTTTATTTGACTAAATATCTTCAAGAAATTTTGTACAGATTCTTGCCTAAAACAATCCTACAATCTCTAAACATATAGTTTAGATCAGGCCAATGTAGCATACATCTTCACGATGGATTATTATCAATACTATTATAGCTTATAGCTGCCATTCACGTTGACCTATCAAAATCAGTATAAAGATATTTTTATACTCTTTTATGCTATAAGAAACGCACCTGTGAAAGATAGCATCATAGCTTCGGTGTGGCCAAGGTAAGCGTTCTTGTTAATACTTATAATGGTATACTACACAATTATATAGCAATAGCACCACACAATTTTTTAAACAACTGCAGCAAATTGCACAAGAAAATAATTGGACAACCGTTTTAGCATCAAGACAGTGTTTCCGGACTGTTGAATTATTTTCATTTAGAAATAAATATATTACAAGTATCAAGTAAACAACTTAAAGACTGATACTTACACAGTAATATTAGTATATAAACTTGAGTATATCCATTAGTACTTCTCTACTTACATTTCGCTGAAGTAGCCGACGTGGTTAGATCTTTTTGAACAGCTGCACTTTCGGCATTTGCGCTTTCCTCTGCCGAAATTTCCGCCAAGCTGAGGATACCAGTGCACAGCTACAAAATGGTACAAAAACAACGACGAATATCATTTGAGTATGAATTCTAAGCGAAAGTACTTGAAAACGAAGCGATATAAGAATAATATTACAAAGAATGTAAAAAACTGACCAACGCAACTGCCAACTTAACGCTCGAGCACATTTTCGCCAAACACTTAAGTATGTACTTTAAACTGCTATTTGCCGCTTTTAGATGTTTTACAAACTTTTTCCGTCAACTAAGAACAAACGCACACACACACACCTACACAAAGCGTTGCGTTCAACCAACCGTTGTTGACTGAACTGACTACACTAAAAAGACTTTCGCTTTCAACAGCAGAATTAGAATCACAGCAGCAAAAAGCACTTAGAACAACAACTTTTTTACCACACTCGTTGAACAATGGAAATATTCTCAAGTCAAACAATTCAAGTTCACAGTTTACAACATCTACTGTATGCACGGGCGAGTCTCAATAAGCTAAGCGTACCGCGAGCTTTGAAGTTGAAGTGTTTTTGATTGTTTTTCCCAGCGTTCAGGTCAATTTATATTTTTTCATTTTCCACCTGAGCTACTCTGACTAAGCTAAAAACACACACTTACACATACAAGTTGCGATTAACTCTCAAATGACAACATCAGCGAACACCACCCTCAAAGGCGCTATCTTTTCAGTAAAGTGTAACAGGTGCTTATACTTGTATGTCCATCCACAAGCGGTTCGAACTCATCAAACTGAGCGCCCAGATGTTTAACTAGTAAATAAACGAGTCACCAATTGCTGTTGAAATTAGCCAATTATTCAATCAACACACACACACACACATTTGCTGAGTCAATGCTGTGAAATTAGTTTGTCAAAACTTCTGCTCTCTGTAAACAAAACTTCGCTAACAGCGCAAAACTTATTAAACACTTAAATTTAAGCATACAAATATACAAATTTACTTAAAGAAGATCATAATACTTAACACCTTAAGTGTCTTTAGACAGCAAAGATAATGTTGAATTGGGTTGGATGTGTGACTCTAGGGATTGTGATTCTAGGGAGCCTACGAAATGTATTGATTACTTGTATTATTTATCTCAAAGATCTTTAACTTGATTATGAACGGTCAGTTTGTCAGCAAATAATTCGTGCCAAATTTCGTAAAAATATATATTGCCAAGTAAAAAAGTTTTCCATATAAGGACTTGATTTTGATCAATCAGCTTTTACGGACCGATAGTATGGCAAATGAGCAGCTTCTTGGGAAGGAAAGAACGCGTGCAAAATTTTCCGTTGAATATATCGAAACCTTAAGGACTAGTTCGCGTATATACAGACGGACAGCCGGACATGGTTAAATCGACTCAACCGTCATTTATATTTACTTAATTATAATTAATAATAAATGCATATATTTACGTACTTGCTTGAACCGCTTCAGAGGCAAACCTAGTGCCAAATTAAAAGAAAAAAATTTCATATTTCGATAGGTAATGCCTTGAAAAGTAGTATACTTACTTAAAGTACATACTAATTGTAAATCAATATCTCACAAAGTTTTTGATTTATAGCCTTTTAAAGGACAGCCGCTAAGTTCAATCAGCTGCATTAGTTTATCTTTCAACGCATTTTTCTCAAAACTACATTTTTCAGATTTGCTTGAGTGATTGCTCGGACTAAAAGATCTGAACACTATTAAACTTTTTCGACATGTTCTGTATATAGTTCACAAAAAATGACTTACAACTCTTTTGATCTGATCAAAATTCGAATTTCGATGGTTAAAAACGACCAAAGTTTTGGATAAATTACAATTTTATTTAAAGCCGTAAATTTTTTAAATTTCTTTTCGACGTAGGTTATTGTACGAACAAAATTTTCCAGTCCAGACCATGTAACATGTGCAATAGCATATCTTGAATTAGTAAGAGTGGGGCGAGCGCTGTCAAAGAAAGAGAAATACTGTATCAAGTTATAGGGCTGGATCAGATAGTTAAAGCCACCGAGAAAAGAGCCAGCGCTATTTTCTTGCTATTTTCAACATGCAATCGTTTGCCATTCAAGCGAAATATTAGGCATTTTTTAAAACTTATTTGCTATGCTTTGTCTTGAAATAATTATGGGCATATTGACATACATTCTTTCCTATAATAATATATGATCCAGAAAAAATTAGTGCTGACGATTTTAAGCAACTTCTTTTTCAAAAGCCAAGATACATTTTTATTAATTCAAGCTCAATCCAAATACAATAGAAATGTCACAGCAAAATGCAACATATCTGTTTCAATTTATTAAAAACGCTTTTGGTCAGATATCTTCTGGACCAATTGCCCCTCCAAATGAATGGAAAAAGTAATATGCGTCAATGAAATTATTTTCGGCTGAGTAAGTCCAAATTCTATTAACAAGAAATATGACAAAGGGTTGCCAAAAAAGCACTCATTTAACTGACATTGTCTTATTAACCCTCTAATTAACCGAATTACTTCAGATTATTACGAAATCTATCACCTCAATGGACCTTCAAATATAGTTTTTCCCATTACGATGAATTAGTTCATACTTTTCATTAGTTGCGATTTTTTCACTCTGTACTTAAAACCACAAACCATCAAGCTAAAATAGCTTTCTTAATAAAAAAAATATCTTCAGAAATCTACATTGAAACAGAAAAAATTGCTCTCGCATATATACAGGATGGCTCACATAGTTATGTCATTTTCAATACTCTAGAAAATTATTTTAAAAAAACCTCAATATGTAATTAGAAACTGAAGAAAGGTTCATTAGAAAGTGATGCCAAGAAAGACGACCAAACAATAGCTTAGTATATTTTGAGACCAAGCTAGGAAGCGTTAACTAAGCGAATGGGCAAGATTTTCCATTTCTGTAAAAATCAAGCGACGATTGCAATGGCTTTGTGCAATATTTACTATTACAGCTAACGCCTCACATTTTGAGTAATTGATCTGGATGGAAAGGAGAGTGGCTGCTTCACGACTGATTTGACAACTATCGACTTTTCGGCTGGTTGAGCTCAAACTTTTCTCTGTTTTCAACAAACACGGTATTGCAATATATCCTGAAGCGTAGTAGGAGCAAATCTCTCACTGTCCAAAAAATATATGATATAGTTTTTAAATATACCATAGGACCAACCTTTATTTCAAAATTTTAACAAGTTAAAAATTGTATATAAGTAAACGACATAATAATATTATACATTGTCAACAACTAAGATAAATACTACGAAAATCAATATGGCCAGGTGTCAAAGTGTTAAAATTAAATAAAATATTTTTTGAAAAGTGCCGCTAAGCACTTTTCAACACTTGATCGGTGGTAAAACTACAAATCCCTCATATAATTGTTGTTTGATTTCGAATTGTGTAAATGTACCTGTCCACATAAGTGTATGTACGAGTGTCCACGAATGTTTACCGAAAACACACGTATTTACCTTTTCTGTCTATTTGTCCCAGACATCACCGGCGTTTCCATTCGTCTGTACTCTTATTTATGCAGCAAATATTCACAGGCTTACTTTTGTTTCATCGATCGATTTCTTTGTAGCTCTGAAGTTTCATCTATATTATGTTTTTGTTGTTTTTTATGCAATTTGTTTGTTTACCTTGCTAGTTGATTGCTATTTACAGGCCCTTGAAAAGCGTAGAATTCATTCATAAAAATATTGAATTTACTGCTCAACTTCCCAGCCAATTTGCCAATATGCACGCTCCAGTACTAACCATACTCGTACATACATATGTGCATACATTACTACATTTGTAGGGTGCGGCACTGTGCAATGAATCGATGAGTGAGGTGTGAAATGTGGTTTTGCGACTAAGATAATTAATTTATTGTTTGGGTTTTGCAATTTCCTTTGACACCTCAAAAATGCGTGGCTTTTGGTCTGCTGAACCGATGCAATTCAGCGTGGTTAATTGTCAAATATTTGTATGACTACAATGCATACATATAACTGGTGGTCTATTTATGTAACCGAGTGACAAAGGAATGCAATCTCAGATAAAACTTTTTATGAAGGTATTTAAAAAATCACTAAGTATTTCGAAAGTTTTTGACTACAGGCTTGTGATAATTCCGCGATCTAGATTTTGAAGTGCCTTTTTTTTAACAAACTCGTAAAGCTTGAAATGCATTTTCTTATTAAAGCTTGTGTTCTTTTGCTCTCATAACCGAAATAAGTAGCGTTATAGTTCACTCAAACCACAAAATAATTGCATACATGTGTTAGTGGTAGAAGTCTTAATTATTATTAAATGTCTCACCTATGGACGCTAAACCAAGAAAGTTCCCGAGTTATCTCAAAATGATATTACCGGCAAATTGAACTTCGTTACTCTGATTTTAGTCAGTTTTGTCAAGGCAGGAGAATTAGTTCGTAAAATAAAGTGTTGAGCTTAACGCTAGTTGTGGCCTTAATTATTTTGTTCCAAACAAGATTTACGCCATATCATTTGAACGGAAGGTATAATTTTGGAATATATGTAATAAATATATAATTAAATGAGCTTCATTTCACACTTTTTACCTCTCAGTTTCATACAGCGAAAAATAATTGTGGTTCTTTTAAATTATTCCATTCGTTCATTACAAAACTAATCAAAAAATACTCTCAACTTGCAATAGAATTCCACCGCAGAAACCACAAAAAAATTAATATAATAATTAACATTAGGGTGGGTTAAAAAAAAACAATTTATTTTCGCTTATTATTAGATACCTCTAAGAAAGTCTCTACAAATATAAGTCCGTAATTATAAAAAGCAGGTCCTTCGCCTTACAGTTTTCTATTTTTTTTCTTATTATCGGATAGAAAAATTCAAATATGGTTTCCAACTAGTTGAAAAAACATTTCGTTCAATAGATTTTGTAAAAAATTAAATGCTCTACAAAAAAGCTCACAATTTTTTACGTAAAACAAGCCGTTTAAAAGATATTAACGGTTTAGTTTGATTAAGCCAATTTCTGATGAATTTTATAACTCAATGAAAAAAAATCTTTATAAAACGGACAACTCATAGTTTTGTAGGAAATTCACTGCTCTACAAAAATGGTCTCATTGAGGTATCTAAGAACATGTTTTTTTAAAGTACTAAGGGAAAAAAAAAATTATTTTTTTTTGATCTACCCTAATGTACATATAATAATGTATATTAAAAGAATTACTATTTATAACTAATTGAAAAACTATTATTCACTACAATGCATATATATTGAATTGATTATACGTAGACTAGGTATAGTAATAAAGGTTCAGTCAAACGATTACAGTTCTTTGACCACTGAATATATTTTACTTATTAGCATCTAGTTGCATGTTCAGTCATTTTCATAAGGTACAAACTGCAAATAAAATTATTAAGTAATTATATATGTATATATAGTATATATGTACCACCTTTTTATACTGATAATAGGTTTACGCAATTGCTTATATGCTCGAGATTGTCGCTTTTTTGGAACATTGGAAAGAGAGCTCAAGGTAAGAAAATAAATGATAGCACACATACCACACTCAACATTGAGAGATATTATACAAAGTTACTAATAACACACGAACGCCCTAAACCTTCATCTAAGCGCCATAAACGTAATCAAAGGTAACACCTCTCTTACCGACTTCATAGCCTATAGAATTAGTAAGTGAGACACTGAAAATACTGGAAAATGTAATACTTTGCTTAATGAGATTCCAAACTTGAAATTTATAAAGTCGATTAAAATATTCCCATAACTACCGTGTTGTGAAACTATGAAGCAAAGCCTTCTCGCCAAGCCGAACATAAAAATAATTTGATATAATTTTTATATGTTAACCGACGTACCAAAAACCATTAATTGTAGCGTAAAGTTAATCGTCAACAGAACGGATACTTAAGAATAGAAATTATTCTGATACATGAAATTGCCGTTTGTTGATCAGATGAATAAAATCAGCTGGTAGAATTAGATCAATAATTCCCTCGAACTTCCGGCTAATTTTATACCGCAAATATAGGTCAATATGTGAGTTATCTTAATGAAATTAAAAGAGTGTGTTTATCTTATAACCATATATCTTTGTGACTTTATCCCGCATATATTTGTGATGGTATGTGAAGTACCTTAATATAACTCAGATATCATCTTTTTCAGTGGTAATGGCAAAAATGAATAAAAGCGGTTCAATACTATCCCCATCTCCCTGATACCAAATATAAGTTTTTCAAACTTCTGATCGGTCAATTTGTAAGATATCTTAACAAAATTAACCGATACCACATAAAATGATTTTCGTCATTCTAACAAACCCAATGCTCAATATGTCGGTCAGTGTATGAGTTAAATATATTTATAAAATTAATTAATTGAAGAAATTTCCCCGGATTTGATACTTGTTCCGTTACACCCGAACATAGCCATTACTTACTTGTTTTCCTTTTCTTTCGAATAGAAATAAAAATACATTGTTTATATAACTGCAGACTAATCTGCTTAAAAGCTTCACTAAAACAGTGGATATGTGTGTATGTATATGTACACATATGTGTGTAGTTATACATATATGTTGAAAAGCTTGCTTATATCCATTAAAGTGAAGCATAGTTATAGGCACCTAAATTATATTGAGAATCAACACAGAATGAGCAGCGACTAAGATAAGGGCAGTGAATGTGAAAGTGAAGAATGAAAGCATCAAAGAAAACCACAAAATGGTTTTGGATGACCGTAAAATTAAGTTGATCCAAATAGCACATACTCTAAAGATATCAAAGGAATGAGTTGGACATATTGTTCGTGATTATTTTGGTGTTCAGCCATCTAAAACCAACAACAAATTAATGACATTTCAGCAGCTATTCAATCGTAATAAATTCGAAATTTTGCGTCGATATACCCCGGAATTCAATGCACAGTGGTGAACTACGTACGATGAACCAAATCAAGCCGGAATCATTGCAGCAGTGGAGGATTTTTTATCGGAGGCGATATCCAATAACTGACAGTAGTTCTTTTGACTGTCACACTAGGTGTGCCCCTTAAACTAAATTGTTATAAGTTCACTTCATTTTATTGAGTCGAATGTTTGCAAATCCTTATATTAGGTGTAAAAGGGTTGTGAAAACTCTTAAATATACTTTATCCATTTAGGGCACGTAGATAGCCTGTTATTAGAGAGAGATGCTTTCTCTGTACTCCAAGTTCTCCCATTTCTACGCTGTAAAATAATGCTGAAATGAAGTAAGACCTTAAATTTGGTTGATATTGATCATATACGTCATGAGATATAGGAGTTCGCCTAAACATGGGCGGTTCCAAGACCATTGTCCAATTTTATCATCGGTTCCTATGAGGCTCTTCCTTATAAGGTACGTTGTAAAATTTAAAGCTTTTGAAGTATTTTTTTTTTTTTGTGAACTTTTGCACTTTAAGTAGTTTTTAACCATAAGCGTTTTAGGCGGATTAGAAGAGATTATCAGCTTATTTCACCGATTATGCGTATGAAAAAGAGCTAAATGAGCTTGTGCTCTACAGGTTTGGTTGAAATAGCTTTATTGTCACCCGGAATTCTATTCGTCATGTGACCCTGATCATTTATAGCGAGCCAACTTGGTAGAAAGACTACTACAGGTAAGATAGCAGATCAAATAATCCACAATTCGTCTTAGCGGATTGCAGCGACGGTTTCATATCATAGAGGTGGGACGGGATAATAAAGTCAGTGGCACAACCCGATAAGTCTCAATCTAACTGACTTACGATAGTAAAAGTCAACATAAACGAAGCTTTATCCTGAGTAACTTACGTGCAGTTGACATATATGTAGGTGAGCACATTTTAAATGCAAATATAAGACAAATGCAAATATTGTCACAGTTTTTTATTTTAGATCTTTTATTAATCCCATATGTACCGTGAAAAAGCTACACACAGATTTTGAACATATCGGAATTCCAAGCGAAATTGGATCTCCGAATGCCAACACTACCCCTAGATGAATCCGAAATACTCATAAAGTGTCCATTTGAAATAAATAAGAGCAATTTTTTTTGTTTTTATGTTTTTTTTTAATACATTTTGTTTTATTAAATCGAAGAAAATCACATTTTCTCAAATCTAACCAAACATTTTTACATTTTTTCATGTATTATTAAAGTAAACATTAAATAAAAACTAATAACTAAAATAAAAAATTTATAAAAAAGTGAACGAAATAAAATTAAGGAAACAAAAACGTCAAATAGTATATATATATATATATAGCCAAAGCATAATAAACAACATTTCACATTGCAATAATTAACTTCGCATCATCATTAGGATTCTTTTCTCTTTTCAATCAGCGCATCAAATGTACTTTTTGCTGCTTCTAAGCAATACCGTTAGACGGAAAATGTTTACAAGCGAAAATACATTTGCATATAATTTTGATAAAGCGACGAGCGCTTTCAATGCTTAAACATACGACTATATATATGTATGTGTGAGAGGTGCAGTTGAAAGAAACTAAAAATGCGGTTAATTAATATGGGGATATTAATAAACTAGAGGAACGGCGCCTCATATATTTTACAATTTCTTTCCGCTTAACTTTTCAAAGCACTCATACATACATATATATATTGAGTTGATAAGAGATACATACATAAAAAGCGTTAATTTCGCAAACAAAAGAACAAATTTAACAAATATTTTTTTTTAGTTTTCTCATAAATTGAGTACATACATAACATATCTAGAAAGAGAGGAAGAGATAAAGAAAGAGAAAAAGACGGAAGGAGAAGTTCGCGCATTCTCATTTACATCGATTTTATACATAAATTATATATCTTAAGAGTATTTGTTGTCTTTTCTTCTTCTTCTACTTCTGTGTTTTATTCTTCATTACAATCTCTTTCTCTACATTACTGCGTTAACTTTTACATCTTTTAGTGCTTACAATGTATATTTTTATTATTATTATATTTTTTTTTTTTGTTTCCATAAATAAACATTGTAAGGACATGAACACAAAATCGGGAACTGGACGTTTGTAGCCGGTACGGAATCAGGATCGGGATGCCAGGATATGCTTGCTACACTTGGTGTGAGGATCAGGATTCCAGAATGGTTGTAAAAACCGTTACTGTTGGACAGGAGAGGTGTTATAAGGACGGGAGCGAGCTTTATAGCGTGTTGCTTTGGACGGGGGAACATATAAGGAAATGGACCTCTTGCCAGGCATGTCATTTGCAGGAACGGTACCGGATATACTTGTAAGACCTACAGTATGTCCATTAAGGAACACCAGCTGACCTGACTTTTGTTGGGATGTTGGGATGTGCGGAGAGGATGTAGGATAACGGGACGTTGGTGGCTGTCGATTGCTGTGGTTGACGTTCTCTTTTGTTAACGGACGGCGTCATTTCATATGGTATCCTTAGATAACTTTTTTTGTCATTCCTAAATTGGAGAGGATTTCTTGCAGGATGTTTGTGAGTATGTAGATGACAAATTGTAGTATAACGTCATTAACGTCGTTCGTCATAACGTCTGTTTAGTCTTTCTTTTCTTCGACCACAACTGTGGCGGACGGTTCTACGATATTTGCGCTTTCTGGCGCGAATTTAACGTCTTCTTTTATCGTTGCCGTCGTTGCAGTCGCTTCGCTAACCAACGCTGCCGGTTCGGCTATCTCCACCACAGCTGGTGTCAGTGGCTTTGTTGTTTCTACATTTTCTGTGCTTGCTGCTGTCGTGTCTAGTACCTTATTGTCTATCAGGTTTGACTCCGCTTGTTCGTTCGTCTTTATAACTTCTACAGCTTTCAATCCAACGGTCTCTTTCTCATTGTCTACGGCTACGGTTGCGTTCAGTCCTTCACTGGCGTTCGTGTCACGTTTCTTATGTAGTCTGTCTGGTATGTTTTGTGTGCAAGAGCATGGGCACATACATTGATCTTTACGTGCACCACCTGTAATCTGACTAAAGCTAAATGGAATCGGTGCTGGTTGCACGCCCAATGGGAAAGAGTCGACATTTTGTTGGTATCTGTCGGCCGTATGTAACGCATTGTCTTCGCATTGTTCATAAGCTGATTGTGGCAAAATGATTACCGGCATAAATGCTATAATGGCACCTTTGGGTATCTTGTCCGGTGCATAGGAGGCGGCATAACCTGGCGCTTGTGGAAACACCGGCAATTGTTGTAACAAAGACATTGAGTTCGTTATACCGCCAAAGAAAGCTTGACCGCCCGATGCGGTTGTTGTTTGCGTTGTGAATTGTTGTTGATTATACAGTTTACTATCCGACGTTGGTTTACCAAAGGACGAGGTTGTAGATTGTTGTTTGCCTATTGTAGTAGTTTGTTGAGTTCGATCCGCATTGCATGAGCACACACGTTCGTTATTTATTTCGGTCGGTGGATAGGAGGGACGTGGCGTTTGGGAATTAGTAATGGTGTTGGTAACTACATTCTTCTCTGTTTGACGGTTTTGTTCGAAACGTTGGCCACCTGTGGGCTGACTGGGCTTGTAGGGTTCATTTCTGTTGGTATTAGTTGTCGTGGTCACTTTCTCAACGACCCGCTGTCCTGTGGGATAGCTGGGTACATTTTGGTTCGTCGTTGTCGTTGTTGTTACTTTTTCGACCACCTTTTGGCCAATCGGATAACCGGGTATTTGTCCATAGATATTAGTTTCCTTTTGTGTAGTTACCTTCTGTCCATTATAGATACGGGGTGTTTGTTCGTATGTTGTTGTAGTTACCTTTTGACCTCCGCCTCCTAGAGTGATTTTCTGTCCGGTTTGTCTGTCAATATTTGTGTTTGTAGTTGTTGTGGTTATTGTCTTGTACGGTCGTTCCTTCTCAATAGATGTATCCTGTCGATTGAAGGTGTTCGTAATTGGACCACGATTTGGTGGCAAGTATTTATTATTTTGTTGATAGGAGGTCGGCGGATTAACCGGTACATTCGGGTAATTCGTATTCGTGTTCGTGTTTGTGTTGGTCGTGGTTGTGGTGGTGATGGTTTTGGGAGGAGAGGGAGGAGAAGAAGGGGGAATATTGGTTAGTGGTGTTGTTTTAATATTATTATTAAATTGAGTGTTAGTATTGGTATTGGTGTTGGTTGTGGTGGTGGTGGTGACCTTCTTTTGTGCATAATCATTATTACTACCATAATTTGGCACGAAAGATGTTTGTGTATTTGTGGTGGTATGTGTGCTTGTCGTGGGTGTTTCACCCTCCACAACTAATGATGATGATTTAATGGGTTGCGTAATTTTACCAGTTTTTGAGACGGGTGGCAAATAGCCGGGTGTGTTCTTATTTGATTCTCTTGGATCACTTGGTTTGTATGGTGGTTGTGATCCTGGTGGGCCGGGACGTGTTGGTCCGGGTGGGCCTGGTGGTCCGGGACGGGTTGGGCCTGGTGGTCCAGGTGGTCCGCCTGGGCCGGGACGTGTTGG